CAAAGGAGTACTTCTGCCTGTGTTGGGTATAAGACCTTCCCATATTCATTTCTAACTCCTAACTCCCCACAAGAGTGAACCATGGGCAATCAGAAGTCCCGCCCAGGCCCTAAATCGCCATTAGGATGCCTAGTCCAAAATCTACCCAAACTAGGTCTTTCCAATAAAAAGAAAAGGCTGCTTTTCCTCTCCACCGTGGCCTGGTCACAATATCCCCTAGACAACCAGTCTAAGTGGCCTCCAGAGGGCACGCTCAACTTTAATGTCCTGACAGACCTAGACAACTTTTGCCAAAAGAACAGTAAATCGTCAGAGGTCCCCTATGTGCAGGCTTTCTGGTACCTTCGCTCCCAGCCCGCCCTCTGCTCCTTTTGTTCCTCCTCCCAGGCTCTGTTAGCCAAAACCCTGCCTTTGCCCTCAGCCCTGCCCGGCTCCGCACTCTCCAAAGACCCGGAAGACCTGTCCTGCCCCGGCCACTTCACCAACCCCGCTCCTTATGCAAGGCCTCAACTCCCTCCTCCCTCTTCTCCTTCTCCTCCCCAAAGCCCTAATATAACTTCCCCTGTCAGTGCTCGAACCCGCTCTCACGAACCCCCACTCCTCTGTCCTTTGCGTGAGCCGGAGCAGAAGGCGTTGTCTGAGTGCACGTTCCCTTCTCTGTCTCTGATCTGTCAGCTGTTGAAAAACGCCTAGGGTCATTCTCTATGAATCCTACCGCTTATACCAAAGAATTTCGTTACCTCACCCAGGCGTACGACCTAACCTGGCATGACACCTATGTGATCCTGTCTTCCACTCTTACTCCTGATGAGCGTGACCGCATTCTTACAGCGGCCCGAGCTCACGCCCATCAGGTACATCTCACAATCAAATGCCAGTAGGCGCAGTGGCAATCCCTGAGGCCGACCCTAATTGGGACTATTCAAACCGGGCCGCCGCCACTGAGACCAAATGTTACAGTGCCTCCTAGCAGGCATGCAAAGCACAGCTCAAAAGGTAGTTAATTGGCGAGCGTTTGTAGGGTGGTACGTGGGTGAGAAGGTCCCGGTGCGCGCCCGCTCCCAGCGCGTCTCGTCACCATGCCTCGGAAAATTGAAATCAAGGACTTTCTGCTCACGGCCCGACGAAAAGATGCCAAATCTGTCAAGATCAAGAAAAATAAGGACAATGTGAAGTTTAAAGTTCAATGCAGCAGATACCTTTACACCCTGGTCATCACCGACAAGGAGAAGGCAGAGAAACTGAAGCAGTCCCTGCCGCCTGGTTTGGCAGTGAAGGAACTGAAATGAACCAAAACACACTGATTTGACCTGTATGTTAATAAATACTAAAAATCCTAAAAAAAAAAAAAAAAAAGGTAGTTAATTATGACAAGTTAAGGGAAATAACTCAGGGTCCTGATGAAAACCCAGCTGCCTTCCTAGACCGATTAACTCATGCTATGATCCTCCATATCCAGCTAGATCTGGCCTCCTTAGCAGGGGCTACAGTCTTAGCCACCCACTTCATCTCCCAGTCAGCAGCTGATATAAGGAGGAAACTTAAAAAAGCTGAGGAGGGCCCCCAAACTCCCCTACGGGACCTG